GTATGTGTCATTTTTTTTTCGCCAAAACAACCGAACACGGCCAAACGCATGAAGTACGAAATTCCAAAGGGCCGACCTGCTTGTTTGACGGGCTATATTATTATGAGCCACAACCGATTTTAAATTTACGTACTATACTACGCGCAACTTTAATTTTCAATGTGCTTATATGTTTTATACATCAATGTTTTCTTTCTCATTCATCCTGTTCTTGCACAAGTGACGCATTTCAGCTGGATTATTGTATATCAATTGGATTATCCTTGCAAAAGAAATATAAAGGCTCATTTGGAACGTAGGATTTTTATAATTCGGAATCATGAAATATGTAGATCTTAAGTGTCCACTTATCTCAAATCCTATGGATTTAAAGCACACATAAAAAACGTAAAAATGACTATTCAAATCGAGCGCAAGAAAAATATATGAATACAAAAGGAAGATATAAAGGATATTTCCCAATTGGTTTGACCTTACGTTAAAATTACTCTAAAATCCCTTTGGACCAATCCAAAGGAATTTCGTATGATTTTTCTATAGCTATTCCTTAATTTGATCCAAGCTCCAACGGACCATATGAAAAATTCTTATAGGATTGAATTCTTTTATAACCCTTTGTTCCAAATTAAGGACCTCTAACAATTAATGGCTTGGGAGGATAGTACTCCCTTCGTTCCAAAATATAATACACAACCACCCTTAACCTAAATACCAAGAAATAATTATTATCATCTTCTAGTTTGAATCACCCTAATAAATATAATGCATGTATCCAATAGAATTAGAGATCTTGAGAGTTGAGGATTTAAAAAAGTAATAATTTAATAGAGAAGAGGTTCTAATTAATTATATGCATGCATGCATGCCTTATATTATGTAACATGAAAAAAAATAGTTATGCCTTATAGAAATGAGGGGAGTAACTTATACTGCTACTAGCTAGCTAGGCATATACTCCCTTTATATTTTTTTTGACATTTGTTAACTCAATATTGGTTAGCTCAATATTGAACTAACCAACAAGTTTGCAAGGAGGTAGTACTAGTAGTACTGAATAATATATTGTGTATTCTCTCTGAAAAAAAATCTAAAACTGTATGTGACATATTTTAGTACAACAAATTTATATCCGTTCAAATTTATAACACTAGGATGTGTCACATCACTTGTAATCTTTTATAGAACGGATCGAGTACTGGAGAACATCACTGGTAATCTTTATTCATGTGCTGTGCTGTGCTGTGCGTTGCGCGATGCGATGCCACTGCAGTTCGGTTCAGGTTTTGCTTCCGTATAAGAGTACCACTACCAGTAGTCAATTCAAACACAACAGAGAGTGGAGTTGCAACTTGCATCGCCTCCTGTATTGAAAATCTCAATTACTACTTGTAACTTTGTACTATATGCATGTGTAATTGTGTACTGATCGTTCTTCTATGTTACTATTTTTTTTAGAAAAAAAACTCGACAAGAAATTAAGAATTGAAAACGAGGCCTACTTATAATCCGAAGACCATTTATTTTCTCTTTTCGTCAGTCTCCTATATATTTTTCTAAATTTGGAAAATGAAATTAGTTTAGTACTAAGAGTACTAGAGTGCAGCAAGCAGCAGGGGCAGGGGAGAGGAAAGGTATACACGTACGCGGCCGGGATGCAACTATACTGTAATTTGGTTGCTTGGCGAGTTGCCGTGCTGTTTAATTATGCCATGGCGAGTTGCCGTGATGTCATGGCATGGCCAGGCTGGGAGAACCAAAGAATTGTCCTGTCCACGACGCATACTCGGACTAACCAAAGAATTGCGTGCGATCACTGTATAGACTGCAAGTCACCACAGGATCAATTCAATGAATCAACGGTAGAGACTACAGCGGCTCTGTCCAGTTCTAGGACCGCTACAGCATCTGATGAACAGTAAGTTTGGAGGATCTACGTCTTCCTTTTTTGTCCAACGGTCACTTTAGTGACTGTTACCAAAGTTGCAGTAAATCTAGAAACTGCAAAAGATAGGGATGAAAATGGAATGGATACATACGGATAATGGTCGTCCCACATTCTCTTTTTCTTTGGGTATGAAAACATATACGAATGATTTGGATATGAAAACAAATACGAATTATACTGGACACAAATACGGACATAAATATTTTCTGGAACACGAAAACCACCCCAACTTTTAATATAAACAAATACCAACACACTCCATCATTTTTTTAATATATTAGTTGATACCTCCCACTTTATTGTAGGATATATATGTGGATGAATACATGTTATATATTATAGAAATGGCAGATGTATATGTTTAAATAATATGAAAATAATGATTTAACTTTGCTTGCATATTGAGTTCTACAAATACAATAAAATTACAAATGATATGTTATGTTTGTATGATATTTAAAATACTCTAGATAATAATTGCTAGTGGGTGACGATATGGCACACTTGCATGTTGAGCTTCTGAAGTTAGTGGATAACTTTATAGTAAGATAGGATGACGCCGTTACCTTTTAAGATATGTTAGTTTAACCATTTATCTTATTAAAAAATATGTAATTATTTTTATTTTATTGTGACTTGATTTATCGTCAAATGTTTTTCAAGAATGATTTAATTTTTTTATATTTGTATAATTTTTTTTGAATAAGACGTGGTATCATATATTAGAAAATGGTGGAGGTATATAATTAGCCCTTTTTATATAATAAATTTGGTCATAAGCTTCTAATCAAGTTTAACATGTACAAGAGTGTTCATATAAATACACGTCTAACTAATATTATAATACAAAATATAATATAATTAAAAAATTAAATGTTTAAATAATATTACTAGTATAGACTGGTGTTGTGAGATGGGCTACTATTAATATTTAAAGAGTTAGCTTGAAGATCTAGAGTTATATAGAAATGAGGTACGTGTCATGGCTTCAGCGGATATCCTAATAGTACCTTTCATCAAATATCCATATTTGTATCTTTATCCGGACTATCCGAGAATTGTTCGCTCTGAACGGTATTCGTATCCGTTTTTTTTTCGAAGTGGACGGATACTATCTGCTCCATTTTCATCCCTAGCTAGGGATCCCAGCTAATTTGGTAGGAGATGGATTTTCGTCCTTGAGGAGACATTCCCTCGTTTCCTATATGTCACCTAAATAGTTATAAAAATATTAAAAAAAATAACAAGATAGATTAATGTAAGACATATCACTTCACAAACATGCAAGATTAAATTCAACTGGTACAAATTGTATAATAAAAAATTAAACTAAAATTAGTTAACATGAATTCACAGTTATATTTGAACTTGCAAATTTCTAGATCGATTAAAACACATTCTCTATTTGGTAACGCATTTATGGAAAAGATAATGTAATTTCAATGCAACTGATTAAAATTTATTTTAGGGTAAAGTAACAAGTATAGAAAATACGAGAATGAATAATATTTTCCGAGCATCTCCAATATATAGTCCCCCAATATCCCACCACCAAAGTGGTTTGGAGCTACCCAATACCACTTTTAGTATTATTGGAGTTGTTTGCAATTCCCTGATAAAAGGTGGATTCAACGTACTTCATCCCTCCCTTTCTTCCCACGCCCTCGGCTTACTCACACTGGCGAGCTCAACAAGGAGAGGTGGTGGTGGAGGACCTTGGGGTAGAGCTCGATAATGAGATGTGGTAGCGTTTTGTGGTGCTCGACCCCCTTGAGGAGCGGCTAGCGACCATCTTACAGTGCCCAAGTTCATAGGAGTAGAGCTTGGGTTGCCGTCCTTCAGATGGAGCTCGGGCCGAGAGTGAGATCCTGAGGAGCTGTTTGGATGGAAGCAAAAAAATATTTGTAGGGAGGAGAGACTATTAGGGATTTTTTTAGGAAGGGGAGAGAGGATTATTAGGGATAGGAGGAGCTATTGAGGACTTGTGCGACACATTAATTCTTAATAGTAAGGGTGATAATGGTATGGAAATTGTTAGCCGTGTTGGTATTATGTCCATAAAAATAAAATCGTTTTTTGACGGTTATTTTTTAAAATTTTGTGTTAGAGTATATAAATATAGGAGAAAAACCTTGACATTTCATATTATATATAAAATGATGTTGTTTTGGATGAAGAGTTTATGAGGGATGAATGAGATAACAGGGGAGTATGTTAGAAGCATTGATTCAGGAGGAAATTAGGGCCCCTTTAAATCACGGGATTAAAAAAATGGAGGAATAGGAAAAACATACGATTCTGATAGGAATTGAAGTTTAAAACAGAGGATTGCAAAACACAGAAAAAACACAGGAATGGTCGTTTGATTGGAACGCAGGAAAAACACAGGAATCGGATGAGAGAGATAGACTCAAAGGAAATTTTTCAAGAGGTTGGAGCTCTTGCTATATTTCCTCCAAAATCCACATACAATGTGCTATTCCATAGGAATTTCATGGAATTTGGAAAGCTTCAATCCTTTGAATCAAATGGACAAATAGGAAAATTTCCTATAGGATTTGAATCCTATGAAAATACTACATAAATCCTTTGATTCAAAGGGGCCCCTAGTGTGTGTGGGTGGGGGATGGGAAGGGAATAATAATAATGCGTTGGGTTGGGTTCCGCCGCGTGGTGATGGCGGTGGAAGAGAGGAGGAGAAAATTGCAATATTAGGACTGCAAACATGGTGGCTTCGCTGTTTTGACACTCCGTGTGGATGACAAATGGGCCCATCCGTGTCTATAAAATGTGGGTTCAATATCATTATAGTAAAGATTAATATTTGCAGTGTCATAATTATAAATCCCCCCTAGAGGAGGGAGGGAGGGAAGCAGAGTTGTTGGTTTTGGCGTACAGTACTACTCCAGTACTGAATTGGGTCTGAAAGGCTTGACCCACCCAAAACCGTGGGTCAGCGTTTGACCCAATTAGGAGTAGGAGAGGAGTACAAGTCTAGTACGCGTCGTAGTCGAAGAGAAGCGTCGTTAAAAGTGAGTTTTAAACTAACGGCAGCAGGAGCAGGAGTAGTTAACGTTAATTATTTTGGGTGTCCACAGCAGGCACGAGGAGGGGCAGGTAGCCTTCCTTTCCTTGCGCTGTTCTTCGCTTCATCCATCCATCAGCTGGGCCTGGGCTGGCTTAACTTCAACAGCATCATCTCCCCGCCATTCGCGCCGTGATTGGATTCTTCCGATCCTCTTGTATTCGATCTCATTCCAATTCGGCAATTTCCCAGCACAGACACACAGCCAAACTCATCCTCCTTTTTTTTTTCTTCCATCCCCTCCCTTGAGAGAGATTGAGATTGAGGCTGCCACCGCCCGCGCGCATCGATCGATTCTACTGGAGTGGAGATCGAGCGAGGATATATAGATCTGGACTGGACTGGAGCTCCGATCAACATACTACTACTACTCGTATATAATAAGCCAAGGAAGGCTAATGGCGTCGATCCGGCGGCCGCACTCACCGGCAAAGCAGCAGCACCTTCTCCGCCACGGACACCTCGGCCCCTTCGCCTCTTCCTCCCCGCCATCCTCGCCGCTCCGCCACTCCTCGTCTTCGTCTTCTCCCAGATCAGCGGCTCATCACCACCACCATCTGCTTGCTGCTGCTGGGCACACCTCCTTCCGCCGCCCGCTCCCTCGCTTCGCCGCCTTCTTCCTCCTCGGCTCCTTCCTCGGCCTCCTCCACTTCCTCTCCCATCTCCCCCGACCCCTGGGCCCCATCCCCAATCCTAATTCCCACCACCGCCACCGCGATCCATTCCCCATCCTCCAACACCCGCACCCGCCATCCACCCCCCACAGCAACCACAAGCTGCTCATCGTCGTCACCCCCACGCGCGCCCGCCCCTCCCAGGCCTACTACCTCACCAGGATGGCCCACACCCTCCGCCTCCTCCACGACTCACCCCTCCTCTGGATCGTCGTCCAGGCCGGCAACCCCACCCCGGAAGCCGCCGCCGCCCTCCGCCGCACCGCCGTCTTGCACCGCTATGTCGGATGCTGCCACAACATCAATGCCTCCGCCCCTGACTTCCGCCCCCACCAGATCAACGCCGCCCTCGACATCGTCGACAACCACCGCCTCGACGGCGTCCTCTACTTCGCCGACGAGGAGGGCGTCTACTCCCTCCACCTCTTCCACCACCTCCGCCAAATCAGGTACCCCCTGCAATCTTATATTGTCCCTGATTTCATACCCAATTTCTATTTTCATGCCCATTCGTATTAATAATTTGCAAGTTTTGCTCATATACACTACACAGCGCCATGAATCGGGTTCAACATCCATACTTTTATCTATTGCTACTAGTACATAGTATGACTGAAGAAGGCTCTTTCCCCCAAGGACACCACCTGTGTGGACTAGTACTTACTAGTGTCGGGATGCATTCAAATATGTGTTACTGCTCAAAATTCGATACCGAATTATAATCAAGTTAGTAGTACTAACTACTAGCTTAATTTGTGCTTCTGTGTACCATCATCAGGAGGTTTGCCACATGGCCTGTTCCAGAAATCTCTCAACACACAAACGAGGTGGTTCTCCAAGGCCCTGTATGTAAACAGGGCCAGGTTGTGGGATGGCACACAACCCACGACGGGAACAAGCTGCGCAGATTTCATCTTGCCATGTCCGGTTTCGCATTCAACAGCACCATGCTCTGGGATCCCAAGCTCAGGTCCCATTTGGCATGGAATTCGATCAGGCATCCAGAAATGGTGAAAGAAAGTCTCCAAGTAAGTTGTTTCTCCATTTTTTTCAGTCCACCAAGATAGGTAGGTAGGTGCCTGCAGGTTCTCATTGCTGTGTAGAGCCAAGTTTATCTGATGAAGAAGCTGCTGATGCTATCAACATGCTAATTACTAGTTAATTGATCATCATGTTGTCTCTTGCCAACTACTACACGAACCACAGATATTCAGAGAAGGACAAAAGAAGTGTACGAATAATGCTGAAAAATACTTCTCTGTAGCTTTCAAACACATGGTTATCACCAAATGCAATACTGTGACCTTTTCTTGTACCCCCCCCCCCCCCTTCTTGGATTTTGTTTGCGATGCCTTTCTGCATGTAGTGTAACAGCTGAGATGAGATGGTTGTTACTTTGCAGGGAAGCGCGTTTGTAGAGCAGCTAGTGGAGGATGAAAGCCAGATGGAAGGCATACCTGCTGACTGCTCTCAAATAATGAACTGGCATGTGCCATTCGGATCTGAAAGTGTTGTCTATCCTAAAGGATGGCGGGTTGCTACAGATCTGGATGTAATTATCCCTCTAAAATAGTATCACCAGCTATGTTCACCAAAGTGCTAACTCCTTTGACAGGTTTGTTCTTCTATTAATTTTTTTGAGTTCTTTGTGGACTCTGATTTTGCTCTCTACATCTTGTCTATTCTAGTTTTTTTTTCTCATTTATGAATTCTTCAAATTGACGCAAGTGCTATACATCAAAACGGTTATTTGGTTCCCTTTTTTTTTTTAAAAGCCCCATTATTTGGTTCCCTCTGTCTTATCTGTTGTGTTCCCGTGGCATTTATGCTAAAATATCAGATTAATTGTGCTATCATAGGGCTCACCATATTAATCATTGCGCTTCTGATTGTGACTCGTTTTGAATTTTGATCCATCCTTAGTGACTCCTTGGTTGATTGGATTGGAGTATGGTTGGTATAGTTAGCGTTCGGTTGCTATACCTTTTCTTTTCATAGTCAGGAGCCTTTATTTTTATACCGCACATGCTTTTCATTTGTGTATTTGACTCAGTTTTCTTTTCTTTTGGGGAAAAGGGTAAAGGAATTCAGGAATGAGTTACTACCATTTTGGAACCTTTCTACAATTTGTGTTGGCTTTTCTATGTTGAATAGTTAGAAACATGGTTGTGAATTTAATTCTTGCTGAATGATTGTAAATGAAGAGCAGCTGATTTCTATAAATTGGTGAATTTGTTTTATATTCATCACTACTGCCTATTGCAAGTTTGCATCATATAACAATAGCAATGAACTTACGACGTCTGCCCTGCCAATTTGAAGGCTAATAATATATGTTACTTATATTGTTTCAGGCATATACTGTAGAAATTAGGCCTTGGCAAGTGTGCAGAGACATTTATACTTTGGAGAGCATCTCTCGGAAAGGGAAGACTTCTTCAGCTGTTGCTTCATAATTTTGTAGGATTCATAATTGCTTGGACGGCCTCTATCCAAATCCAATCCAAAAACCTTCTCTTTGCCGTGTATATGTTCATGTTGTAGCAATTTGTATTCATTTTTTTGGGTTCAAAAGCCAAACGGCAATACATGTTTCAGGATATTTAATTTAATAGCATTCTTTCTTCTGGCCTGTGCAGATTACTGCCTAAATGGACCTTTCCAAAATTTGGCATTACCAAAATTTTGGCAAGCTGACAGCATTGTCTCGTTTATTCGTGGAATAAGTCAGGTTGAAAATTTAAATTTTGACTGATAAGCATAAGTGAAAAGATGAGGCCCGGTAGACTAAATGTGATGTTGCCAAATTTTTTACACATGATCAATATCTGATAACAAAGTAAATGCCATCATGTATTTGTTAATTTTACTAAATAATGGTATAATTAAAAAAATAACATCAATATGGATGCACCTTTCATCTTCATGGGCTGAGATTTTCTTCAGATAGGATGATACAAACAAAATGGGTTCCTATACTACGTGATATACAGAACAGAGGGCACTGAGATCTGAAGGCTACCAAAATAACCATCACAGCGTACAAATAAGCAAAAGATATCAAAGAAAATGGAAATTCCAACATTCTAAACAGTTAGATATCTACTCTAAGGTCTATATATTGTTGACAGGCTTTCATTTATGATAACTTGATTCAGTATTCTTGAACAAGACGTTCTATGACTGTCATAATTGTTATGAAAAATCGCACCAGATGTTCTAAACAATAATACATTAACTCATCAATCCGTTATGAAGGAAAATTGCCACAATAGATCTGCCATTCTGTTGGAACTCTTTAGTAATCGACTGATTGGTACTTGTGTAACAACCGACTTTTAAGCACCGCTATGACTACAAAAACAATGAGATTGCTTAGCATGCCATAGCAATCCAGATCCAGCCACAAGGTCATGGGATCAAAGTAATTCACATTACAAGTAATCTCATACAAAAGGATTGCTCATCTACTCAAAGTTGAAACTATAATTTCAATTCAGGAACCCCTCTCCATCAACGGATCATCAAGCCTTGGATCCCCTGTGATCCATCATCAGTCACCTTGTTTGCTTGTATTGTGTTAATAGCACTAGCAATGTTTCCCTGCAGCAGAATTTTCATAGACAACTGAATCAAATCCATGCTAAATGCTTAAAGACTTCAGCCCAGTGATATGCAACCAACATACAGAACCAAAAAAGAAGAGATTTTTTTTAACTAAACTATGCAGTTGAGCTAATCAAAATGACAAATTAAAGGTGAGATATCGTCAAGTGGCTTACCCTCCAAACTCCAAGCTTTGAACGTAAACTCTGCCACTGTGGCATCCCAAATATCCTCTCAGTATGCCGACTGAAAATTACATACCAGATCACTCATTAACCAAAGAATATATACATATATAGCACCTTAATATGGACCACAAATGTTAAAGCAAAACCAAAATAAAGGTAAGTCAAAAGGTCCTACAGATGCGAATACCTGACAATGATAACCTGGTTAAGCTGGTCAACTTTGCAATCCAATATCTTGCATGAAATAGCTTTCACAATCCAATACTCCACTTCATCATCATTGATCTAATAAATGTTTTACATGGTCAATATAAATTCTTCGACAGGTGAACAGTAACACAATGGCAGGATTGAACAGCTAATTCACCTTAAGTGCATCTATGATTGCATGGTAAGGGATCTCCCCAGCACAACGGCTGCTGAGGTCAAGCAGGGACATCAGTCTCATTTTTGTTATGCAATCCTCATGAACCAGTCCTGCCAATTGTTTATCATTAGAAATCCTGTAAACGAAGCATCACATTTTCCATATTTGCTCCAAGTAAAGACATTTAATGTTTTCAATTCAGCAGTTGTACATACCATAACCTTTCAGCAAGGCAGAATTAGCTGACTGAAACTCTAAATAGGAATCAAGCCTCTGAGTAAGGAATATCTTCAAGAGCTCATAAACCAGCTGATACTTTTCGTCTTTTTCCAGCTGTGCAACTGCTGGCATATTGAGTAGATCACACTGCAATGACACATAATTGCATGATCCACTGCATTGAAGTGTGCCCTTAAACTATACATATAGCTTGTCAAGATTGAAATTGATAAAGACCAGGGACTGTAACATACAAGAGACATGTCCATACCCAATAACCCATTGTTGGTTGCAACTGGATTACTGGCAATAGTTGGTAAAATGGCAAGTAAAGAACAAGTTTATAAACATGAATATATGATAACTTCCTAAATCAGTTTCAGGGTAGTAGACATACTAAGAGATGAGAGCACAAGTACATACTAGGTTTCAAATGTTAGCGAATAACTTGTCCTTGTTCACAAAATGAAAAAAGTCGTATTGGCAGTTTAACAGCCGAATTCAACACTATATGACCCAATTCGACATCTGTTGATCTGATGTGAGAATCGCCATAATACATTGAAGTTCTGATATGGACACAGTGGGGCTCATCTTAATCCTTTGTTCATTTTAATAATGTCCATCCAACAGGGAGCAAATTGTGTCGTTACGCCTAAACAAATCCTAGACTTGGCAACAGAGATGTGAACTCTCAAGTAAAGAATTACCTGATAGAGATCAGATGACTTGACAAACTCAATGATTGCTGCAACAGCTTCTTCCTTTGCATCACCGATTGCATCAGCGTCATCGGCCGATCCATCGAAGGTGGCAAGGTACTTATTCAGAAAGTTGAAGTACTCCTTGTTCATGCTGTTGTCAATCAAGAAAGGGCATGAGATCACCTCAATACAAAATGCTGCAATGTCAGGAAAGTAATGGAAGAAAGCAATGCAAGGCGCACCCTTTCTGGTCCTTGAGGATCCTAGCGGCAGCGAGGAACAGGTCCCTCTGCTCCACCTTGCCAATGCCCCAATCGCTGATGAAGCTGTCGATGTTCTTAAAAGTAGGGATAATGCAGTCGGCAGCCTTCCCAGCGGCGGCGAGGTCGAGTGCCTTCTTGTAGACGAAGGCCTTGGCATAGGGGCTCCCGAGCAGATTGTACAAGCTGAAGAGACTGCCTTGTGTGGGGCGCATACAATGGAAGCAAAGCATTGTGACAAATCCAATACTAGAAAATAATGTATATATATATTATTTATTTATTTTTTTAAAAAAAAAGAGAGAGTGTGAGGCTTACACTTTGAGGCGCAGGGCCGGTTTGTCTTGGGGCTGGTGGGTGAGCTTGGCGCAGATGAGTTCGGCGATCTGCAGGGCCTCGTCTTGGGATCGGGCCTTGGTGACGAGGTTGCAGATGATAGCGAGGATGCACTCGAGATCTAGAATTGGAAAGGATGAGCAGCAGCAACATGAGCCTCTCAAATTCAATAGGGGAGAGAGAGAGGGAAGGGAAGAACCTTTGTCCTTGTCGGGGAGGCGCGTGGATTGGAGGAGGAGGTCGGCGGAGGCGAGCATGAGGGAGGCCATGTCGAGCCAGCGGGCGGCGAGGATGTGCTGCTGCGCCTCGACGCAGAGACGGGTGACCTCCGGCTCGGCGACGTCGGCGCCGGCGTCCGCCCAGGCCAGCTCGGCGGTGAAGCGCACCACGGCCAGCATCGGCTCCTCCTCCGTCGTGTTCACGATCGTCGCCATCTTCTTCTCCTCTCTTTCTCACGCGCACAAGACGCCGCCGCCGCCGGAGAGGAGATGGGAGGATGCAAGAGAAGAGGAAGAAAACCCTAAAACCCGATACGAATCAGCTCGGCTGCCCTTAACACCCGACGCCTTTCTTCGGCCCAATTAACCCTTATGTGGGCCTTGCTCGTCCCATCAACAACAACAAGTTTAATATATGTCCGTGTCAGATCCAGCCATCAAGAGAGAGAGATGAATCCGCCCCCGAGCGCGCGATGACAACGCCACACCAATCCCCGTCGCCTCCTCGCTCTTCCTCTCACAAAGACAGCAGCGGCTCTACCGCCCGTTGGCTTGAACAGCGGCGGATGCACTCGCCGGCGCATTGCATCGACGACAACGGCAGTCCAAGCCCTGTGTTCCATTGAGGTGTAGGTCAATTTTCCCCAATTTTGCTTGAAAATTTCGTACGAAATTTCCGAAAAAAATCCGCTGACCCCCGAAATTTTTTCTCTTTCCGATAGATCAAACCCTGGTCATGCATCCATCGTCGGACCACCTCACTCGCTGCCGTGCCTCCTCGCGACTCCACGCCGCACGCCACCGCATCGTGCCCCTACAGACGCCGTGGTGGTTCCCCCTTCCGCCGGAGCCCTACCCGGGGCTGCCCTTGCACCGCTAGACCAGCGCCGCCGGTCCCATGCAACTTAGTTTCTCACGTTCAATGAGTGGATGACCAGTGATAATAACATGGTACATTTGTATATATATGTTTTTCCAATGTTTCTTGATTCATTATTTAGTTTACTTGCTTGATTGAGCTTCTTCAAGTAATTAGTCATATGTTGACTCGGTTTGATCGAGATAGATGATGCATTATCAGTTTTTGACCATCCAAAATTCTCTTTAGTGATTAGGATGCTCCAGAAATTTGGTCTTCTGTTCTATCGACAAGATAAGTGTGTGGGGGCATGTTTAAGAAGCTTCTATTCAGTTCATCAAATTGGCTTCCAAAATATTGGGCACACCAATTGATGATAAGAGGAGCTCAGATACACCAATTGATAATAAGAGGAGCTCAGATTCTTCATTATTTTTGCAGACTAAGGATGCAAAAGAATTGTGCCCAACATAATTTTGCTTTGTATAAACCCTTCTGAATAAGTAATAATAAATCTGAAAACAAATGTGAAACAGTGCATGAGATTTGACTATTTTCTTTTTTACTCATTTTATTGGCTACATGGATTTCACGTGCGCCCTACTGACTATTTTCTTGATGCATTAATGTTGTGAGTCGTAAGTTGTATGCACTCAGCTATATCAGTTTCAAACCATGAATTCGTTGCTTCATTAGCTTAATTGTTCTGTAAAAAGATTTTTAAGAAAAAAATGGATCTGAACTTTATTGGTGAGATAAATGGCTGTAGCTCCATGAGACATCAAGTTCTTATTTTCCTTATTGAATTATTTTCTTTCGTTTGGAGGGGCTGCAACTGCTAGGATGATGGACATGTGCAGTGTGAAATCCCTTCCAGTGCTCAACTAATATAATTTGGACATGTTCACGGGATACCCTGTAAGTCCATACCACAAATACATAGTTGTCGTTTCAATTTTTAAGGTGTTTCCAACATGTTCACACTCGACATCTCCTTCTTTTCACTTAAGGCAACTACGCCGAGTACTGTTCCGATAACAATTTACTAGAGTACTATTACGAGACAATTAATGTCTTGAAAGTAACTGAGATATAAACCTCTATGGTTTGCATATCATATAAACTTCTACTGGTCACACGATAGAAGATATACACTTACTGTTGAACATGTAAATGTTATTTACTAGAGTACTATTTTGAGACAATTTTTTATGCTTTTCGTACTTTGTATGCGCTGTGTGATATACATATCATTGGAAAATCAATGCATTAAACTTTGAGTACACTTATGTATATATTGTGGGAAACGTGCATTGCACGTGCACGATTACTAGTTGGAGATAATCAATCACTCAATTCATGCATGAATAACCAAATTACCATGATCTAAACTAACCGTAGCTATTTGTGTTGCCGATGCTTTAGCGTGTTAGATAGGAAAAAAACAAACATATATGCACACTTGTCCGTGGAGAAATGTTAGAAGCCTACCAAATACATTATGTATCACTCCTAACAGCTGCAAGTGAGCGATAGAACCTTGTTTCTTTACTATCATCCCACGACACATCTAGCACCCACTTTCTTCTTTTTCTTCTCTTCTCCCTTATTCACATAGAATTTTGCTAGCGTGGAATAACCTATAGCCTGCTGGCTCGGGCTTATTATACCTATATTATGGCTCTGTTACTTGACCCATAGGTAGGGTGAAACTGGTACGGAAAGCATCTTTATCATTTCCGTTTTCATATTATTTTCGAAATCGGAAACCCCACATACAAAAACAGAATCGAATATTATCGAAACCGCAAACGGAGCGAAGATGAACCGGCGCGAATACGGTAACGAAAATTTATTGGAATATAAAAACCCCTCAAACGGATAAATCCAATTCTCAATTCTCAATGGTCAACAATTCATCATAAAACATATATAAGTCCAATTGTTAAGTCTCAACGGTACATCACAAAACACAATCTATGGAATAAATTATCTATATTTAAGAGAGTAATGTTGTTGATAAATCCCAATGCAGGAAACAAATATTCTTATGTAACTTCAGATTTGCATAACAAATATTTTTAAAAAATAACAGCTAAACACCATGGTATTCACTATTCAGTGCTTAAAAAATCCAGGGTATTTTAGTTACAAAATTTCCGGAAATTCCGAGAAATTTTTCGGAAAGTTTCCGACCGATTCCGAGTTCCGACGGAAACTGACTATATCATTTTTGATTCCGTTTCTGAGAAAATATTTCCAAATTCATTTTCGTTTCCAAAAAATTCCGACCGACAAATTTCATTTTCGAAAATAGGTCCGGAATCCGGAAAGTTTCCATACTGTTTTCACCCCTACCTATAGGCAATAGCACCTACCTTTTGTCAGAGATTTCATCTACGAAGTTTTATTTTGCACATCGACATATTTTGCATCTTCAAGGACTCCTTTGAATTGAACGGTTCTAGGGAAAATTAGAGGATTTGAAGTCCTCACTTGTAATGAAGGAACGGGAATATGATATTAGAGGAAATCTTCCTATACCATTGATTTCATTGGAAATCCATAGGAATTTTGACATTCACTAGGACTTGTTTTTTTTTCTTTTGAGATATCCAACACAAATCAATGTATACACCTCCAAATAAACATAGTTTAAACACAAATTTACGAACAAGAAAATATACGTTATGCATAGTTAGCAAAAATCATGTGTTTTACTCTATCACATGTTCCAAGCACTACATCTCATTTTTTTTCTCAATTTTTCGATCCTTTATTTTACACTTACATTACCTATTAATTAGTTTCTTATGTTTTTCTTATTCATGTGGTTTTGCATTCATGCGTTCGAAATGAGCCCTAAGTCTTATTGGCACAAACCCTTGATTACATGCTATGACACAATTTTACCTGATGCTCTGTGATAATATTACATAAGTTAAAAAAAGGAGTACAAACCAACTCACTCGCATGTCTTTCTGGAAGCTATTTGAATACCAGAGAAGCATATACACACAAATTGTATGTTGCATAGGATACGGATAAGATTTTGGTTTCTTCCTATTTTAACCCACATTTTTCTTGATAATAGAGCATTAGTCATGTACACCTTCCGTTTAAAAAAAATCAAACTTTTATACATGAATCTGAATAGAGCCTATGTTCAAATTCATAGATAGAAATTTTATGTTCAAATTCATATATAGAAGTTAGTTTATTTTAGAACGAAGAGAGCACTGATATGTTGAAATACTTGGAACTCCTATCTCTATGTTTGACATTCGTGAATGCTTTCTAACCTATGGTTTTATGGATATACTTCTCACCGCTACCAAGTCTTTTGAAGGAGCATAGATGACACCTTTGCCCATTTGCAGTGCCAAGTCTTTTGAAGGAGCATAGATGACACCTGCAGTACAAGCATCTATCCTTTAGTTAGCACCAATAGTTCAAAACCCAATAATTCTGCTTCTACAAACAAATTGATAGCCGATATGGGCGTCCCTTGCTGATATGAACCCTATTATTGACTCAAAGTCACAGTTCACTTGGAAAATATTCTCAACAGCAATCCTCACAAAGTCTCAATTCTTTCTACATTACATCTGGATGGGGATGTCATCCTTTTCTTTCTTTTTTCACTGTAATCAACTACAACAGAATTTAACCAATAAATAATAAGAAAAGAGAGTAAAATATCATATCATTGGTCCATTGTAAACTGAATTGCATTCTCCAGAACACAAATTTTCGGTGTTACAAAGCACATAGGCAGGTGGCCGTGGCTCCTATCGCAGTATGGTGTGTTGACAGTGGACGAGCTATATTAATCTTCTGCTGTGGAATGGCCCAGAGCTGGGGCTTCCGTGTCTGCTGCATGGTCTGCAGCCAACCTTTCCTCAAGAACCCTTTCGCCACGCTCCCTGGAACAATAAAAATAGATTCGCTGAGCTCTAATTAAATTGATAAAAGATTTATCAAAAGCCAAGGTTTGCAGATTTTCAAACAATTAATTTCATACTTATGTGCCACATTCTAATCAGAACTACCAGTGTACTAGTTGATAGGTACGCCTACAGGCATGCCAAGACACGACAGAGTTACCTTCTTCTCGATGCCTTTGCAGGATCTGAGACTGGGAGGGCCAGTTCAGAAGGTCTAGACCTTGCACACAGCATCCGATCAAAGAGGTTAGCAACAGGGTCTGTGACTGGCCTGCAAGGATCACAAGAATGGCATATCAGATGTGGGATTAATTGTGACGATCTTTGCCAATGCACTAATGCAGTATCGCGATTAAAAAAATTACCGCATGGCATCCGGGAACAAGCTGGGGAAGGAGAAGTCATCACTTGAATCACCCTTAAGCCCTGTCAGTGGGTTCCTCTGGAAGTATCTCAGGTAAATCCAGCTGACATACATCCCCGATAGCAGAGTTGGAAGGAAGTTAATGGAATCAGGTACAATGAAGGCCATGATAGTTGAGAAGCATAGCACGAAGAATGGCATCCACTGCAATAGCAAGGGAAAAAGGAGAGAAGCTATGTAACTTGTTGTGGAAGAAGTATTTATTAGCACACTACATGCTCAGAAATTGTATTTTATAGTAGTTCATCAGCATACCTTAGCCTTTATTTTCCAGAAAAAGCACATGGGGAGCTCAAGGTTTGGTAAAAGTTGTTTCAGGCCAACAAGAAAGCCAGCAAGGGCACCATGGAAACCAGAAAGTGGTGTAACACTGCACAACAATCAAGATCAGCTAGTGAGTACAATGCACAATTTTCAGTCAGTAATGTTACTAACCAAGAAAGCATTATGTAAGGTGTTGACATGAATTACATTATGCAAACATAACCAACAGTAACCACAATATGCCGAAATAAAAATATTTATTATCACGTATAGAAGTAATGGTATGATATTGTTATCCAGCGAGCTAATGTGTAGAAGTTTGCATGAACTAAATATTCATTGCTTTTGAAGAAACTAACTGAATATTCATATGAAAAGGTAATACGCAGGAAGCAAGAATGAATATTATTTCAATGACATAGTAGAAATATAATCTGTAGTAGTATAATAGCTATGTAAAAGTTAATTGATTGATGGTTAGAAACTTACAGGAAGCTCTCCTTTCCAGTGACATAGTAGA